GGGGGCAGAGAACTAGCTCTGAGTCCTAGTCCCCGAATCTAGTTTTCCAGGTGCTTTTTCTATAGGGTACCCATTGGCTGCTTGGTTGAAAATCTTTACAGCTAAAACTTCTTAGGACATGGCCAAGCCACACCTGCCCTGTCTCATTTCTCATTTGATGAATTCTAGCCCAAGCCACAACCGCCATGGCTCAAAGTCCACAGAAGGGCTTTGCATAACCTGAGCTTTTAGTTCCCAGATGTCAGAAGACAGATCCTGCCTAAATGCCCATCACCTTCACAGGGCCGCTCCTGTAGCCACTCAATGTGGTAATAGACCCAGGAATGCTTCGATGCAAAGAACAGTAGAGGAGGCTGATATGATTACAGCTCTATAAGAATTACCTAGACCTCAGGAAAACAGCTTGCCCCACACTCATAGTATCCCAGGGTGTCCTGAGCTGGTAAGATCAGCCCTGGTCCCTAGGGCTTTTGTAACACTAGGAGGTGTCAGCAATATGCCTGTGACAGCCCGTGAAGTGCCTATAGCACCCCAAAGCAGGGACTCTCAGGAGGCTTACCTCTCAAACCCCAGCTGCTGGCAGGTCTTCTGAGAGTCAGAGTCATTCCAGCTGCTGCTGCAGATTGGAAGCCACTCATGGGAGGATCCAGAGTAGACTTTAAGCAGAGATTTGTCCCAGTCAAACCTCACTGCAGGGCATAAAAGGCAGAGCAGGTCCTCAGTACCCAGAAGCCTTCGAGCTCTTGAGGGATGAGCTGAAGAAGCTCCTGTGCTGGGATTCATCACTGAGGCCCAGGGAAAACCCAGGAGGTTGACCAGAGTAGCAGTAGCCAGAGGTTCAAAGTAAGGGCAGAGCCAAGGCAAAGGGCTGAGGCAGGGCGAGAGCTCTCCATCCAGCTCTCCCTGGGAGAAGGGGCAAGCACAGACAGGAGCTGTCATTCTGAGAGGGCCGCTCCCATGCCCAAAGGAGACAGTGACAGGGAAAACAGATCTAGTGTGTCACTGAGTCCCCACAGAGCAAGGTCGGTCACAAATGGATGAAGTTGTGGACAAAGGTACATGTAAATGCAGAGGTGAAATGATGGGACTCTCCCATGCACATGCACATGCACATGCACACACATGCACGCACACCTCATAGCAGGGCTGCACACACCCCACAGCTCATTGTGCATGCACAAACCACTGAGGACTAGAGCTCAGAGAGATCTTAGTACTGATCTAAGACTTGAAGTCGGAGCTCACCTGCTAGCCAAAGAGGAAGGGCCCGAGATGGGGCTCCAGTCAGAGCTGATCTGCTTTGCTCAGTTTGCCATTTGAAAGTTGTCAGATTTTGAGAGCCACTAAACTTGTCCAATACACTCGTTTTACAAAATAGGAAACTGAAGCCCAGGGAAAGACAAATGATGCAAGTGACTTACCCAAGTCACAAAGCACTCAAAGCCAGGTTTCAACCCTATATCTACTGAAACTAGAATCCTGATCTTCTGATTGTTTGTCCACCACTTCTTGTCATACAGTTTGTACCACAGTTTGTAGTCACCAGAATGCACACACACATGTATGCTAGCACTTGTACATGCCTGCATGGACACACACACACACACACACACACACACACACACACATGCTCACCCATGCTGGCCTCCTTAC